AGTTTGTGAGCCCTGATTGATTTTCAGTCTTATTCCAAAACATGCCTGTTATGAGATCTATATATCTCCATACTTCTACCTATTTGCACAGAAAGATAGGATATAAACAGAAATGTTCTTTTTACTTGTTTCTTGCCCACAGGATGTAACTTTCTAACCAATCTCTACTACCCCAAAGTTAGACCCACAGAAAAAAAAAGTCTTTACAAATTTAGCATTCCTGCAATACTTGGCCTCCCACCCTCTCCCTTGGTTTTTGCCAGATCATCAGCGAGAGCCTGTTATCTTGTGTTAATAACTCAGCCAGTTACCATGGAAATGCCCAGGCTGTCACAACTTCAGCATTGTGATGCCGCTGCAGGATCTAGGAGTAGGAAGCACATATGCTTATTACAATTGGAGACTCATTCAAAATGTTACTTTCTTAGTTTAGTGATGTGGGCAGAGAACTGCACTATCTGAAGCCAAGACCTCCTTTTGAAGGCCTGTGAACACAGCAAGTTTAAATGAACACGGGGGAATGACCAGGGGAAGGTTAGATGCAATACAGGTAGTCCTTAATTTATGACTGTTCATTCAGCAACTGTTCAAAATTGTGATGGCACTGAACAAAAGAATTTACAATCCCTGCCCAAAGTTACAGCTGCTGTTGCACCCCTGCAGTAATGCAAACAAAATTTGGGTGCTTGACAAACTGCATGCCTTAATGACCAACCACGGGGATGCTACAGTGGTCCCCCCACCTAACATCCCCCCATCCCATTCCACTGGGTCCCCAAGGTCTTGAGCCTGCTTCCCAACCCACTGGGTCCCACACTGCCCCCCCCCCCACAACACCCTCATTATGGCTCAGTCATTTATCTTTTCCATAGATCTCTTTTGGGAAGTAGGCAATTTGCTGTGTAGTCTTCCTACATTGAGGCCATGTGGTGCTGTCCCAGAAATGGCAACATTTTGGGACTGGCTGCAATGAATTCTGGCTTCTCCAAAATGGCACCTGCTTCTGGAACAGCACCATGTTGCCTCCATACTGTATAATCAATCTGGAGTTCACAAACTCCATAAACAAGAACTGGGGGTCATTAGGTGAGGCAGTCACATGTTTGCCTTGCTTAAAACTGTCACAATTTGCATGCTGCATTACAGTTGTATGTTGAGGATTACCTGTATAACAAGGACTTTCAGGTTTACAACCAGCTGCTTTATACCAAGCCATTCCCTTAATCTGACTAGATTAGAGTTGTCTACATCAGCCTCTTCTACCCAGCATTCTTCAGAAACTCTGGGAATGCTGACTCCCAGAATTTTCAGCCTCAATCTTTTGGCTATTTCAGCTGTGTGTTCTAAAAATCACAGATTAAACACTTCCAGAGGACAATGGTTGGGGAAGAGTGGTCTTCATTAACCTTCCTTAAGTCTTGTCTCTAGATACATCAGAACACAATTCTTGTGGTTAAAGAACGTATTTCAAAACTGGCATGAAGCTCACTGAAATGCCAAGAAAAGGAGCCTCTCAGTTTGTTGCTCTCGGGTGGGTGGGTGGGGTGTTACTAAGTATGCAGTGAGATTTAATACAATAAGACATACTGTATAACAAAGTGATATAAATAGCTATCTATGCTGATTCCCCTACAAAATTAATACAAAAGATAGCAAAACAATGCTAACACTATGATTGTGGTTCTACAGGAACCCTTTGCTAACCTTCTGTTACTACAATTCCTGCAATCCCAGCCAACATGGCCAATGATACAGGGTACAGAGAATTTTATTCAGACATAGTTGAGGGATCACAGATTTCCTATCATTGCTGAATTTCTTATTTTCAAAAGAGGAAAAAACAACCCGCAGCTAAGTGCCAGAGTCTCTGTTTTCAATGCAGCAAGTGCTAGAAATTGTTCTCAATGTATGACAATCTCTACTATATTTCTTGCCATTCTGCATATAACTCCTGGGTTTTTTTTATACATTGACACCTGGACTCAATGCTCATTGTTTTTATACTTGTTTTTACAATGCTCTGAGGTATGCAAGAAGCCAAAGAACTATTGCTCATTGTCAAATTATGGAAAAGCCACAGGATCCAGGATCTTCAATTTCTCATTTTAATCTTCTAGTCTCTTGTTTATGATAAAATTGCATTAGTGTATATTTTTAATCTGAACCATGTATCCTGATCCCAATTGCTGAATTGTCACAACCCAATGATTTACAAACTACCCAACTGTATTTCACATGGGTGGATTGTACAAACCCTCTCTTGGGATTTCAGTCTATACATACAACTTTGCTCAGTGGAAATTATTTCCAACTAAACATGCATAAGCCTCCACTGCACGTGGTCACCTCTATTTTTAATAAAATCCTAGCTATTATAGGCAGATGCAACTATTGCTTCTCAGCCAGAACCACACAGCCAAATAAAATGCATATATCTTACAATAAATAATGAAAAATGGCCTTGAAATGTTCCTTGAACTTTTGTTTGGTACCCTTTTCATAAGATTTTTTTTTTGTCTCAATATCTGGCAACCTTCCAACCAGAATTAAATAAAGCAAGTTTTTATCCACCCTAGGAATGTAAGGCCTGACATTATCTGTGGCTTGTTTAAAATGTTGAAATAAATAACTCTCTGTTAAGTCCTTGTACATTGATTAAGAATGAAATCTAATGCCTCGTTACCTAGGAATAAGCCCTGCAGAATTCCAGGGTTTACTTCTGAAAATGAGCGATAATATATACAAAACTGTAGATTTTACAACCCATGTTCTCCATTTCTCAGATGTCGTATCATTTTTGGGTCACTTTCAATCCCAGGAAGATTCTTCACCCCCAAACAAATGAACAAATTAACAGAAATATTAGGATTAAATAATTTGCCTTAATATGAGTAAAATTAGATTTTGTGTGTGTATGTGTGTGTGTGTGTGTGTGTGTGTATTCAGGTTTTGCAGTAGATACTCAACGATATCTCAGTAGATGGCAAGTCAATATGTAAAAGGTAATTTGAAGCCAAGGCATCTAAAACTCCTTGGCTTATGATTCTAGACATAAATGTGAAAGAAATTATCATAGACTTCAGCTTCCCCATTAGGAATGTTGCCAGCAATCCTGCAAAAACAATGAATTCTGGGAATATATACTCTCTAATCATTTTATGTCTTACTGGATTTATTGCATTTCTTTCTTGTATTTTTTCATAACACTTAAGAGATTCATATTCCACACATGGATTTGCTTCCTTGTATTTTCCCTGCATCAAACAACCCTTTGGATAGTTGGACTCAAGAGGGAATCCAAAATCACCTTGTAGGCTTCTATGGCTGAAGGCATATTAGAATGTTGGGCTCCTTAATCATAGTCTCACATCTTAACCACACATTGGAAAAGCCACTGGAAAGTATTTGGGGGTAGAGATAAATAGCTTTTTTTCCAGCATTTTAAAGAATCTCTTGCATTTTCTTATATCCTGGAATAAAACAAGGCTGTTAACTACTTTCATAACTGCCTTGGTTGCTTCCATAAATTATCTGTAGCTAAAAGAAGTTTCCTGAAAAAGGCTTTGAAATTTTATCATCTAAAATTATTCCAGGAACACCCCCCCCCCCCAAATATCCAAAGCAAGTAGGCTAATAGAATAAAAACTACCTTGGATTTCAAGGGAGCTATCCTATATGAATAGTTGTATGAATCTGAAGGCAAATAAAAGATGTGATAAAAGGAAGAGGGAGAATTCCACATTAGATGACCTGGAGCTACTTGGTTTTGCCATATGGAAAATTCATTATGTAATGCATATAATTGGATTTTGAGATGTTTGACCAGAGCTTGTGACTGGATAGTTAAGATCAATGTTGCTGTTTCCTATGTGTACTCTTAGAGGTAGAAGTATGAAAGCATGATACACTGCATGAAAGTTAAGGCAGGAATCTCTGTCTGAATCAACACAGATAGGCAGCGTAATGCAAAAGGGCACCAATGTGCCCTTGGATATCTTACTTCAGCATTGCTATTCACATTCACTTTAGCAATATTTCAGATAACATTCCCCATGTAATAGCTAACTTGTGAGAGACCCACAATATGCTTTCAAATATGAATACCAGCCCCCAAATTTGACTGCCTCTGGCTTAACTAATCAGAGATTGCAACAGTCTGAATAATTTTCTCAGTTAATGTTTTCCAGATCTCTTCAATTTCACAACTACGGCATCTTCTTGGAGATGCCTAGTCTGCAAGCTCCCATGGACTGACTATCTCATCAGTCAATTCCCTACTTAACCCCTGGCAGGTTGTAAACTCTTCAAATGATTAGATACTATTAAGAAACATGATTTACCCCAAAGTAGTTTACACATGGCCACAGAAGTACAAAGGATGAAGCAGGACATAAAGTTATTGAGATAATGAATCCAAGCTAACATGGAAATTATAAATGTTAAAGTATTAGGATTACATGGCTGGTCTACTGAGAACTAATAGTTATTGACGGCTTATCTGGAAATTTTTCAGACAAGCTGTTTGTTGAAGTCTAATTTAGTTCCTCTTCTATCCACAGCATAAACTTTTGGGAACAAAGAGATAAAGTCCTCTTTGTCTAAGAAAAGGCAAACTTGCACTACAGTTTATATGTACTTAAACACCCAAAGAAACAAACACTTTCCATAGCTCTATGCCAACTATTATTTTGTCTTTATCAAGAACATCATTATTTTTCAACTCTGGAAACAGTGATCAAGAAATATATCTATTACCTATAATTACCTAAACCAAAAGATAATGGCCATCTAACTGCCATCTAATTTAAAGGAATAATTCAACAATTATATTTTCCATAACAAAATAATTTTACTTCAAGAATCTCTAAAGCATGTGCATATGTAATACAATATTATGTATGTTTGTATGTATGTATGTATGTATGTACGGTATGTATGTATGTATGTATGGTATGTACACATCCCTCCTACCTTTTTCTTGTGGACAAAAACAGCCTTACCTTTCTGAATGGGTTTGGTTCTTTGAAATAGCTTGTCATCTGTTTAAAAAGACACAATTTTTTTAAAGCATTAATCAAAAAGATTCCTAGTACAATTTAAAGTGCAACACTTACTTCACAGAGTGGGATTCTGTTTTAAAAAATGTCTTCATTTGGATGACTTAGAAGAGCAGGCAATTTATCTAATGATTTTTATAGTACCATACCATTTAAATTCTAAATGGTTTGGTTTCTTAACAATTTAAATCAGACATCAGTTTAAGACAGAAATGACTTAGGTATTACTGACCCCTACTGATATGATATTACTTTGCAGGAACATTAACTTTTTCATGTATTATCTTATTAGGCATATTTTTCCCATTTTTAAAATATGTTTAATTCAAACGTGGGTATTGAGAAAAACAAAATACTCTGCACCTAATAAAACAAGGTTTACTTTCTAAATATCAGAAAGCAAAGATTAGAACCAGACCAGCCAAAGGCAAAACTGGCCAAGAAATTCAAGTTTACAACGTCAACAAACTGAGTGGTGTTGGGTCTGAGGACACTAAACAAAAGTGCCATAGAATATATACTTAGCATCTCTTTTTCATCTTTTTCCAAATGATATGTATAAAATAACAAGGCATAGTAACATGCCATAATTCCTCTAGTTTACAAGGAGGAGCCACTGGAATGAATTTAGTGTACTAAGCTAGAAATGTTATACAAATCATATTCCATCATGGAAAGAAGGCTGTATCCCTCCAGATGTTGCAAATTAATATTTTTCACAGCTGCCCATGCTGGTTGGGACTGCTGAGTGCTACAGTATTAAAAACTTCTGGGACATGTATTTTCCACCTTTCCATTGGGAAGTATAGATACTAATGGCAGCTATTTAATGTGTATACATAACACTAAACAATCAAAATAAGAGTAAATTTTTGAGGGAAGAAACATGGAAGATTTTTTCATAAAAAGGCTATTTGCTGTTCCACTAGTGTAAAGCTGCCAAGGATTTTGCAATAACTACTATGAGATGAACTGTTCTGTATTTTCTATAATATTTGATCCTAGGTAATTTTTGAGTGGGTTTACCAGATTTATATTAAACATAGTTGTTCTGTTGGGCAAGAGGCAGTGTATAGAACAATTTTAAAATAAAATTTAAGAATGTACAGAATAATTGGAAGAAATTCACAATCATGCTTTTAATTGTCCCCAGATCATCAAATTTACCAATGTGTTATTGGAGTCCTTCAGTTTGGACTTGTAGAGCATCCATTGGTAACGCAATTCCTCTAGTTCATCCCAGTTCCGGCCAACTGGTTGAAGATGGAGAAGTTCTTCAAAATGATGTTGACCTTCAGGGACCCTTAACTGAAGCTCCTGTAGGGAAAAGAGGTATTAACATTGAAGGCTTGATAAAATAGAATAGAATAATAGTGTTGGAAGGGACCTTAGAGGTCTTCTAGTCCAACCCCCTGCTTAGACAGGATACCCTACATCAACTTCAGACAAATGGTTATCCACTCTCTTCTTAAAAACTTCTAGTGCTTGAGCATTTACAACTTCTGGAGGCAAGTTGTTCCTCTGATTAATTGTTCTAACTGTCAGGAAATTTCTCCTTAGTTTTAAGTTGCTTCTCTCCTTGATTAGTTTCCACCCATTGCTTCTTGTCCTGCCCTCAGGAGCTTTGGAGAATAGCTTGACTCCCTCTTCTTTGTGGCAGCCCCTGAGATATTGGAACACTGCTATCATGTCACCCTTAGTCCTTCTTTTCATCAGACTAGACATACCCAGTTCCAGCAACCATTCTTTATATATTTTAGCATCCAGGCCCCTAATCATCTTTGATAGAGGGAATGAAGAGAGATCTGCCAATAAAAGATATAGGGGTTTATATTTATGGATAGTATCAGACCTGGCACAAACCTAAGCCTCTAATTAGAAAACAACCCTTGGCTCCATTTGCTGACAAAGGTATATTTTATTAGAGATAAAGTGTATTGCAGTGAGCCAAAATCCCTGTTATACTTTTCCGTCCTTAACTTTCATTTCCTACCCCAAGGTTACCAATTAAAGCCTTGCGAACTGTTTTTCTAATGGTCAGTTCAATTGTGCTCTGGTATGCCACTCCCCTCCTTCTTCAAGCTGAGTGACCTTGAAGCAGCTTCTTGAGATGGCACAGAATCTACTTTCATTTTCCCAAGCATGCCCCCTTTCATCACCCTTCTCCATAGTTCATGGCAGATTCTCACTGCATATCAGCAAAGCAGAAGCAAGCTCCAATAGTAGTACACATTGGAGGAATTTCAGAAATATTTTCAAGCAGAAAAATTTGAAACAGGATTACAGTTCCACAAATATGTTAAAGCATAAACATATAATACAATGTCATTCCCTGTCTTGGTGCTTCATGTTTAGTATTTATAAGTCTTTCAATTACCTTAAAATATAGACTCTGAGGTACTCTTGGATCTGTATTGATCAAGGGATCAGATCTAAGAATGAGGCTGGTCGTTTTGGGGAAGGAAAAATCAGATCAGATTCATGGGTCTGTTTGGATTATAATTAAGTACTTGCCTATAGCCACAATTTTTCTCCCCAACAATGCATTTTATAGCCACCAATTCAGCCATCAATAGATACAATAGATATCAAAATGCAAGGTTAATATGGAAATTCTGGGATTGAACTAACCTTTAGCTTGCTATATCTTGCCTTGACCTCTTCATTGTTTGATGGATTCAAGGCAAGAATTTTAGATAGCTTGTTGTTTTCTCTTTGCAACCATTGTTCAAAGTTCTTAATAAGTTGGAGCTCATCGGTATCTTCCCCCCTAGCCACTTTTCTCTGAATTATAGAAAACAAAGAATAAGATACAATATAGATGCAAACAAGAAAATAAAACATCTCTTTCGTATATACACAAAGTTTCTGAAAATAAATGGCTTTTTAGTGTACAGAAGAGAAAGGAATTGATAGATTGAGCTAAGGGAGAAATGACAGCATTTTGAAAAGTAACATCTTACAATATATATATACACTTGCACTGGTAAATAACTATTACTTAATGTGCTCTGAGGAAGATGAGAGCTATGTCAGAGGCTCAACTTATACTGGATAGGTCTCATCAGAGGAGCTGGATGAAGACTGTCTCTCCATAAACAATTTGGTGAGAGGTAATTTACAGAAACCCATACCGGATCAGTTGTCACCTGGATCAACAAGAACCATGCTAGGTGTTCGAGTTTCTACATGTCTGATGACAAATGAGTTAAAGGCCTCAAGATTGCTGACTAAGCAACCAGGGCCTGCAGTGACAGACTACTGGAAGAAAAGCTTGTCTGTACTATATTAAAAATCCTCCCCTCTTTTGGCTATGTTGCTAATTTTAGTCTCTTTTAATCCTGAATAGAAGCAAAGATTAAAAAGAAAGAAATAACATTGTGTTATTACAAATCAAGTCCAATGAGAAGAGGCTATCTGAAAAGAAAGCACCAGTTTTGGAACCTGTACTGATTAAGACAGCTTATATTTTTGATAAAGAAGTCCCAAAGGATCACCTTCCCAGAATATTTTGACAAAGAAGCCACAGGACTCATCCAATCCTGTTTCTACTCAGGAAGTTGGCAAAATGTATTTCATCTGACCTTTGGAAATGCTACCAATTAAAAACCTGCTGCAGTTTTGTAACTTTTCTGTGATGGTTAGAAATAATTATGTGAGTAGCACAAGGTTTTTGAGGCCATGTGCTTTTTACTATGGAATGTGTGGTAGAAATGGGATAAAGGAAAGAAATTGTTCTATTCAAACAAGGCATTAACCAATTCAACTAGGATACACTAACATCATAAATAGCTCTCATTACCAATATGGAACGGTCATTCCAATTAAACCTTTAGATAGCAGAAGTACAGGGAATCCTTGACTTATGACCAGAATTGAGCCCCAAATTTCTGTTGCTAAGCAAGGTATTTGTTAAGTGAATTTAGGCCATTTATTACCTTTCTTGCCACAGTTGTTAAGTGAAACACTGCAGTTGTTAAGTGACTAAAACGGTTGTTAAGTGAATCTGGTTTCCCCATTGACTTTGCTGGTCAGAAGGTCACAAAAGGTGATCACATGACCCTGGTACACCATCATCAATATGAACCAGTTGCCAAACAACCAAATTTTGATCAGGCGATTGTGGGGCTGCTGCAATGGTTGTAAGTATGAAAAAGATTCGTAAGTCACTTCTTTCAGTGCCGTTGTAACTTTGAAGGAATAGTTGTAAGCTGAGGACTATCTATATTTCATTAAGCCTATATGGTTTTCTCACCAATAAGTGCTCAGAAACATCCACTTTTTCAACTCGCATTTTCTCTAAACAGGTTATCTTCTTATTCACATCAACTGCTGTCCTATTTGGATGGAAAGAGACTAAAATTAGCAACATAACAACTGAAGAGAGGAAGATTCTTAACGTAGTACAAACAACATTTGTGAATATACTGACTCGGTGCTTTGCTTCACATATATCACCAGGCCAGGATTTTTAACTATGATTTACTGAACAATTGAGAGTGGTCTCACATAACAGCAAGCTATAAAGGCAGGGATCATTTAGGTCATTGGTGTCCAACCTTTTGGCTTGCTTGGGCCATATTGCATGAAGAGGAATTGTCTTGTGCCACATATAAAATATATAATTTAGTTAATGTATATAAATAACAAACTTCCTTTCATTTTAATATTTTTTTATATCTTGTGTGGCTGCATTACAAGTTATCCAGGAACACATGCAGCCCACGGGCTGTAGGTTGGACTCATCTGATTTAGGCTAAGCTAAAAAAGGAACAAACCATTAACAAAAGATTGTGATCAGATTGTATTTCAAAAACATGAGAGTACAAGTCAAGAGAAGATCTCACAAGTTATGTAGCATAATGTGTTTATATGTATCTGCCTTTTTGATAAGTCACTCATGCCTTGGTTAGTTCATGGCCCTATTACTGAAATACATTCCACACAGGGCTGCCCTCAAAGATCACCTGAAGTTTCAGCCAATTCAGAAAGCAGAAGTACAGGCAATGATGGGCATGCTTTGGTATGTTCATATAACACTCCGCTCTGGGTGTTGCAGTATTTCTGGCTTGCTTCCAGATGCTGGTTATTGCTTATTCCAGGGCACGGAATGGAGACAGTCTTAATCGTGTTAACAGATGTCTCCTAGTGGGATCTGAATGGAGATAATGTACCTGCCCTGAGCCTTTCAGATCATTCTGCAGCTTTCAGTACCATCAATCGTGATATCCTTCTGGAGCATCTTTAAAGGTTGGGGGCTGGGGAAACTTTTTTATAGTGGTTCTGCTCCTTTCTCAGTAGGCATTTCTAGTCAATGGTGGTGGAAGAGGAGAAATTGACTGGCTGGCTGTTTCCTTGTGGGGATCCACAGGGATCTCTCCACACTACTGTTTGGTAGCTACAAGAATTCCTTGGGTGAGGCTATCTATCAGTTCAAGTGACGACATTCATCTCTACCCAGGCTGTACTGTCTGAAGATTTTGAACTTCTGGATGGGACAGACCAAGCTTAAACTGAATCCTAGCAAGACAGTTTGTTCATCAGGGTATTCAGATGGCTCCACTCCTGATGGAAAAGTAATAATTCTGAAGGAGCAGGCCCATGACTTGGGCAACCTCTCAGTAATGTTAGATCAGCAGTGGGTGCTTTCCTTAGCTTCACCTGGTATGCTGGTTGTGACCATACCAAGAGTAAGAACATCTGGCTGCAGCGACTTCTATCCTTACCCCAGTTAAGACTATTGTAATAGCTCTATATATCATTATTTAATCACTAGTTGGATGTTTCAGTTAGTCACAACCGCCTATGCATTATCTGATGTTTACTGGGCAAAGCATATTATACCCAGGCATGGGCCTGCGCTGACTCCCTACAGACATTCAGGTGTCCATTTAACATGCTGGTGTTCTAACTTATAAAGTAGTTTATGGCTTGGAACCAAGTTATTTTCAGGATGGTATTTACTCACTAGAACTGGCTCAATATATTGGTTCTTACTGGAAAACTGATGGTTCCCCATTTTGGGAGGTGTGGAAGAATGAAGCACAAAGGGGCTGCTTTTTGGTAGCAATGTCAGCCATCTGGAATGGGCTCCCTCAGTTTATTAGATTAGCCCTGACCTCAGCTACCTTTCCTAAGCAGTTGAAAACAAGGCTCTTGGGGGAATGTTTGGGACTTGATACCTCTTCATTTGTACTGGTTTGGATGTTTTGAATTTTTTGGTGTTTGGTTGATGCGTTTTCTGTTCCTGGATTTTATTAATTCTGATGTTTTAATGTTTGTATTCTTAACACTGCTAAGGGTCCAGTGGGAATGCAGGAGGATAGAAATGTAATAAATAAATAATAAATAAACTGGAGCCAGCACAGCCTACAATCTGAAAAACAGCTGCACACCCCTTTTAAATATTGAACAAGAAGAAAATGACAGTACAGAAATTGCATATTCCCCATCCTTTTGTTTTCTCTTTTCACCAGCTAGCTACAGCTAGCCTCAAAAAAACTCCTGAAATGAAAGTGCAAGAACCTCTTACTTTGACATTAAGTTTTCAAGAAACTTGAATGAATCCTTCAACTTCTTCATTTCAGTTTGGATATTAACAGCTCCCTCTGGAGAAGTGTCTTTTATAACCAAATGCCCATGGGCTTCAATGAGATGTAACTGGATCTCTCTACCTGGAAACTCAGTTTGTAATCTCTAAAAGGCACAAGATACAAACACATCAATGTATTGATGGAAGAGAATATTTGCAGTTCACAGTTGAACTGTGGGGTCTTTGGTGCTCCCTGAGCTTGGTGGTTTTCAGATGCAGGTGTTTCATTACCAAACTAGGCAATGATCAGTGCACTGATGATGTTACCTAGCTTGGTAATGATACGTTTGCAAGAAAGCCACCGAGCTAAGAGAGCACCAAGCACTCCAAATCAATGTAGATGATACATGAGAATGAATGTTTAGGATCATTATTTAGCTCTGATTCAATCTAAATTTTGTTAACATTTGTAGCATTTGTTTCATTAATATAAATGAAAGACAAAGTGCATATCCAGAGCAGGATCTTTGCCATTTACTATGAAAAGCTGCCAAATGTTATTAATGGAATCCTATGTATTGATGACAAATTCTAGAATAGAATAGAATTCTTTATTGGCCAAGTGTGATTAGACAAAGGAGGAATTTGTCTTGGTGCATATGCTCTCAGTATACATAAAAGAAAAGATACATTCATCAAGAATCATAAGGTACAAAATTTAATGATAGTCATAGGGTATAAATAAGCATTCAAATCATACTAGGAAACAGTCAATATAAATCGTAAGGATACAAGTGACAAAGTTACAGTCATACAGTCACAAGTAGGAGGGGATGGGTGATAAGGAATGATGAGAAAATTAACAGTAATAGTAGTGCAGACTTTGTAATAGTTGATGAGAAGATTAACAGTAATAGTAGTGCAGACTTGTAATAGTTGAACAGTGTTGAGGGAATTATTTGTTTAGTAGAGTGATGGCTTTTGGGAAAAAACTGTTCTTGTGTCTAGTTGTTCTGATGTGCAGTGCTCCATAAAGTCGTTTTGAGGGAAGGAGTTGAAACAGTTTATGTCTGGGATGTGAGGGATCTATGTCTAAGAACAGTAGAAATACTATTCTGAATCAGACCAAGGCCCCCTTTAAATATGTAATGAGGATTGAACAATGTTAAGGCCACAAGTGGCTTTTGGTCTAAGTTTCAACAATCTTGGAAGTAATCATTTCAAGCTTCTAGTAAGAGTAATCTGTTTGTACCTTGGCAGCCTTCTAGAATATACAATTTTGACAGATCATTGTATCCTTCATTGATAAATAGTTTAATAATTTTTTTTCTTGGTGATATCAGATGTGATGTCAAAAAATCAACCAAGAAGAAATGTAAAGTAACATACTTCAAATAATATGGCTTCTGAGCAATGACATTTAGGAGCATAGTCTCTAAATCTGGAGATCCCATTTTTATACTGTTGTATGAACTACATATTAATTCAACTTCCATAATACAGAATGTATATAAATGTCTTGTTCTTAGTGTTCAATTTGGTCTTTAAAAACAGTGTAATTCAAAATAAATAGTACTTTTGAAAAACAGTAACATGGCACCTTGCAAATATTTTGCTGATTCCAAGGCAGTAGGTGAAATGTAAACCTCAGCTAAATCCTCATATTTCTACCCATTGGAAAGCTTGCTAATAATCTCACAAGAGAAGAAATGTTCTTTACCTCCAAGTCCAAAATTGCATTATGAGTTGTAGCATCACAGTAATATTCCAGTTTCTGTTTGGTCACGGTAAGCCACTGTTGGAGATCTGATAATTTGTCATTAAAAGCCCAGTGTTTCTGAATATGTTGCTTACTTTGTGCAATCATGGTCTGCAAAGAACAACAGGAAGACCAGTCATCATAAATAGGGGAACTCATGGGATTTCTTTCTTTGGATCAAAAAAAATTGTGTAGAACCTTTCAACTTCCAAAAGATACCTTATCATCATACCCAAAATGAACATACTAAGAAGAAGACAGGATCTTAACAGTGGCTTACAGCATCTTCTAGAATCATTCAGCCAGATTGTGTTGATATTAATGAGGACTGTTTTTTATCAGCTCAACAACTCTAAAGGATGCTATAAGTCAGGGGTGTCAAACTCGTGTCACGGCAGCATCACGTGATGTATCAAGATTTTCCCCCTTTCGCTAAACTGAGTGTGGGCATGGCTAGTGCATGACATATCCAGCCCGTGGCCTGGGAGTTTGACAGCCCTGCTGTAAGTTATCAAAATCAAAATACAGGTAGTCCTTTTTTACTAACCACTCATTCAGCGATCGGTCAAAGTTGTGATGGCACTGAAAAAAGAGACTTGTAGTATGTTTGGTGGTTGAAGTTGTGGCCATTGCAGCATCTCTGCAGTCATGTGGGTATTATTTGGGCACTTGGTAATCAGTGTGCATTTACAATGGTTGCAGGGTTACCTGGTTATTGGGCTACATTTCAATCACCTGGTTATTATTTATTACCCTCACAGCTGGCTTCTGATCAGCAATGTGAATAAGGAAGTCAGCAGAAAGTTGCAAGTTGTGGTCATGTGACATCACATTTAACAACTGTGGGTGATTTGCTAATGATCACAGCTGGAACTACTGTCATAAGTCAAGCTCTGATATGTAATTTTTCACTTTACATCCACATCACTTAGCAAGAGTGCCAGTTCCATTTGCGGGCAATAAGTGAAGGCAATCACTAATAGAAGGCTGCAGTGTTTAGGACAGGGGCGTCAAACTTGCAACTCCCCCCCCCTCGCTATACTGAGAGTGGGTGTGGCTGTGTTTGACACCCCTGCCTTAGGAGCTCATTCTATTGAACCTAATACCACTTCCATCCACATAGGCATGCATAAGACAGTACTGCACATTTTATAAGTTTCAGATTCATATTCTATCTTCATTTTATAAATTGTTTTCTTATTAAGAAAAAGAATTTCACTAAATTAAAAAAAAATCTGAAGTAGTCTGCTAAAGTGAATGAATATTTAACACAATTTTACCTTCATTAGCAAAAAATATATCTAGAATTGCAAATCTGAATTTGGCCACAGAGTGGTGCTCCACAAATAAAAATGCCTTATGCATCTCTTTCTAATGTAAAGGAAATGCAGCTAAAGAAAACACTGCTTTTCTAATAATATATTAATACTTAATTTTTATTGTGCTTCTACATTGTTTTAATTACTCCGAATCAAATGACTGCAGTCGTCATCTTTGCTTTATCAAAAGTCAACTTGACTTGGTAAAAGCAGCTTGATTTATTCATCATTTGCAAGTGAAACGCTTAGATCACATAGCAACAACTTCAATCGCTAAACGTCCATCACTAAATAACTTCTTGGTAGTGGACCAATGATATTGATAAAATTACATACTCCAAGCTCTATCATTAGACAGAGCAATCATTTTACCTAGAAAATTTTACATAACATGTAATAAACATAAATTTACTACATAGACTCCCATTTCTTCCCATATCACAGTTACCTTCTGAATTATAATGGAAAATACCAATACAAGATTCATCACTAGCCACTTTAGAGAGGGCTATAAAGCACTGTGAAGCTATATATAAGTCTAAGTAATATTATTAGGATTAGCATAAATCCAGCTGCCCGAATTCACTTTATTGTGAGATGGGTGGCATAAAATTTAATACATACAATAAATAAAACCATTTTATTCCACCCATTATTTGCCCAAACATTATCTCCTGAATAATGGGGCCCTGGACTTTGCCCCACGATTCATCTCCATTTGGAGCATGTCTGAAAAACCACTAAAAGACCTGGAGACAACATCTCCATAACGGTAACATCTCCATAATGATTGGTGGAAGGGCCTATAGAGGTGGACCATTTTACTTACTTGTATTTACCAAAGAACTGTTATTATTATCATGAAAATTGGGGTCTTACCCCACATTTTCTTCTGCATGTTTGGAATCCCAAGAGGAGTAGAAACCCTATCATAAGGGTCCATTATAAGCCACAAGAAAAGATGCAGGTTGTATGGGCTGATGAACATGTTTTTCTGCTTGGCTCTCATCTAACAAGCATGAGTAGCAGTTGTTGCACCAATGCAACCATTGCTGCACTGGTTGAGAAGTGAAACGTCTTCAAAGAAAAATAAAGAAAGTCCCAGTTGCCTTTTGAAAGAATGACTGAGAATCTCCATAGACATGCATCAGGGCAAAATCATGCAGTTTAGGAAAAAGTTAGGAAAAAAACTCCTTCAAGTTGAGTTCAGTTCCTGCTGGTTTTTTGGACCCTTTTATGTATTCATCTTAGCAACAGTAAGTGATTTGTCATTGTCTTCTTTGGTGTCTGGGATTCCCTGAATGTCTCCCATTTAAGTATTAACAAGACCTGACTCTGCTTAGCTTCTGAGCCCAGAAAAGATTAGCTGAGTGCTGCCATCTTTTGAGAATCCTTCACCAAAATGAGTTACCTCCAATGATCTCTTAAGTATTTGATAGTCAGAAGAACACTGTTTTATTTTATGCATCTGTGCTGGGTCTGACTGAACAAATTTCTCTAGTTCTTCCATTTGGATTGCACATTCATCCAGGTGTCCTTGAATGCTCTGTAGAATAAAATTACATTTTGAATAAGTTGCCATGCAGGATGCTGTTCAAGGAATCATTGCATACTTGAAAACATCTTAAAAGAACAAAAGAACCTGCTTGAAAATACACATTGTTGCATGTCAAAGGGATAGATTCAGAGGATAATCTACAAGTAAAAGTCCTAATCCTGCTAACTATATTTTTAACTGGAGCTGCAGAAAAATGAATAATCTACCAGCTAGACTCTACTCTGCAACATAACCCACTGGAATAAATTTGCAATGTGGGGGAGGTTCTATCTTAATTTTATCATGCTTTTCCTCTATTGGTTTGTGTACTTTTTGGTTTGGTTTAACACACTTATTTTAAGATTCCACATCTTATAGGGTCTTGGTTCTTCATCTGTCAAGATAGGATCAGAAACATCCAGACAGATGGCAACACAGGTGAGGACTAGCAAATGAAACTTAATTTGGAGATGTTTATTCCTTTAATGTATGCCTTACTTTTTCATCCCATCTTTGCCAATTACACTGTTCCTCTTTTCCTTAAGCTTCACAACAAACTCATAAATCTTATGAGGTAGATTAAACAGAATGGCTGATTGCTTCAAGAATATCCAAGTAAGCTTTGCCACTGGGAATTTAGGGATGTACATCTATTTTGTTCCGAAATGGAAAAAGTGTTGTGGCAGAGAAATGGATATGGTTCCTGTACCAGTTGATGCCTCCTTACAGGAACCACACCTTTTTCACACTGCAGCCATACAGTTTCAAGATTTTAATATGTGTCAGCCTTCAAGATCTTCCTCCTTTCCTTTGCTTCTTTCTGGCTGTCATGAGTAACGGGGGTGTGTGTGTGTGTGGAAGGGGGAAATGTATGGGTCGTGAGCTGAAAGTGTTACTAACTGATATTGTATAACCTGGGGAGGGTTTTTAATTCCTGCTTAGCTTTCTCTTCTCTGCGCAACTGCAAACCTTTATCTGAGTAAGCCAAGGTCAACTAATCATCACCACCTGGATATGTCCACATGCTGAAGTTCACAACTTTTAATTGGAAGAACCATTTGAACTATTGGGGGTGGGAACATTTCACTCCCTTGATATATGTGATGTACGTGCCTATTTCCCCAGATTCAGAATTTTCTTGTTGCTACCACTGATTTCCAGTAAAAGATATCTTTTCTCTAATTATAAGAGTCTAAGTATTTCTTTCTTGGATTTTGAACGGAGCACCAGCTGACATTATGTGTTATTGAAACTGAATGGCTGCCATATGAGCCAAGAAAAGACATCAAGGAGGTACAAGTCTCACTGCTTTAATCTAATGCTCCAAAAATGACAGCTTGGGGGCTTTCATTTGTGTGACACATATCACATCCATAGCTGGCTATGACTGTTGATAACACATTTTGGAAAAGAATTCTTTTGGATGGTTTTTGATGCCACTTACCTCTAGTCTTTGCAACCGGGCTTCTTTGCCCACAAGATCTGGCAGCAGTTGTTTTTCTGCATTTAGCTTGACTCTGAGAGCAGACAGCTGAGTTTGCAGAAGCTTGAAGGATGCATCAAAGTCTTTGTGCTGTGATACCAAAGCCTAGCCAGAGAGAAAAAGCTGATTTCATGCCAGTCCTGAGCACATGAATGCTTTCTGCCAACTCACAACACAGACCTGTGAGTACATCAGAATGAAAATAACAATCTGACTGAAATAAAAACTGAATGATGTTTTTATCATTGTAGTTGGTCGTGTATTGATCACTGCACTATTAAATCACAATTATTTTTCTTACCAGCTGACTTTTTAGGAGAAGCTTACCTGTAACCTGCTTTTCCTCTGGAGTAGCCCTTTGTGCAGGTTTTCTAATTCCTTTGTAGCATCACTAACCTCCTCCAAGAGTAACTCTGCTCTCTCCTGTTTGAAAATATTACCCAGAAAATCTTTTTTCATCTGGACTTTCAGGAGTTGTTCTTTAAGATGGGAGCTTTCAACCAGAAAAATCTACAGAAGAGAATAATTGATTATTAGGAATTTTTGCCAATCATTTTTTATTTTCCTACTTTGAAAATATTTTCCTCAAACAGGAATAATTAGAATAATGAAAAAAACCCAACTACAACTCAGAAATACTATTTGATAAGTTTATCAGCATGTAATTCATACCAAAATATAGATGTATCAGCATAATGTATCTTTACCTGCAAATATTAGATAATGATATTCCCTGTAACACTAGATGGAAACTGAAAGTTGGACTATGAAAAAGCAGGACAGAAAGAGTGTTGAAGCTTTTCAATATTGCTTTTGGAGAATATTATGGACATCCAAGGAAACAAATAAATGGATCAACCCTGAATTTTCACTTGAACACAAATGACCAGACTCATATTATTCCTCTTTGAATGTATTATGCAAAGACTATTTCTCTGGAAAAGCCTCTCATGCCCGGAAAGTGGAAGGTAGATATGTTACATCTTTTATACCATCAGTTACAATGACGGAGGGTGTCTCATTTGAAGATCTGAAGAAGAGGTTAAGAACAGATCATAGTGGACAAAATTCTGTTTAGAAAGTAATATCTATATTAACCACATTGATTAGAGACAACGGGCTAGACAAGTTTGTAAGAGATTGGAAGGTTATTTTTGTTTCTGGAGTTACCTATTAACTTTCTCTTTTAAGTGAATAGGTGGTGGGTCGACTTGATAGATGGACAACAGATCAGTGACATCCTTTTTATGTAACCTAGTATTTTTAGTAAGAAACTATAGATGGGGAAATAGTTGTAGATTTGTTATGCAAGGGGGGGGGGAAACTTATCAGATATTTGAGATATATGTTTCAGCTTTCAATCAGGGTGGACATTTTATGTCGGTTATTAATATTAATGATATAGTTATTTATTCTACACACATTTTATTATTGTTTTTTGCTTGGCTGATTAATATGTAGCTGACATCTTTTTTTATTCTGTATTTTAATTTTGGAGATCAATAAAAATTATTAAAAAATAAAAGTAGAAAAAAGTAAAAAAAGAAAGTAAAGCCTATGGAGTCACTAACAGCTGGCACCAATTTGATGGCAATCAATCTCAACATACAATTAAATAAATATACCAGGATATAAAACTGCACAAAACTATATAGATGGCATTGAGGAAAGTTCCTAAATCTCCTGTAAAATGGGAAAAGGGGAAGATCAGTGGATGTAACTGGAGTGAGCATTTTACAACTATAGTTCTGCTATTTAAAAAAGCCTTGTCTTTTTTCAGATGAACCAGAGAACAGAGCCTTGGACACAGAATTCAGGCTTCAAATAATCTCCTACAACTGTTTTCCAACTACATTCTAAGGAAATCCTGGTTTCCTGGTGAGCCTGTAAGGATCCACAGAGTTCCAGGAGGTTCCAGGACATTGACTTTTCAAGTTGGGGAGAAATAAAAAAGAAATTTCAAAGTGGGCAGGAGGACAGAGTAGAGGAATTGATTTGCTCCAACTGTTAACAGGTGAGAGTTAACTTTTTAAGCATTTAGCAGCAAAGGGAGATTTAGGGTGAATGCATGTTGAACTTTTTCCGCCGTGCTTTATTCTAATATGTTCTGATCCAGGTTAGAGATACACTATGATGTTTTTGGGAAGTACAGAAAGACACACACACACACACACACACATACACACACACACACACACACACAGATACACATATGAGCATACCCAAGTGTGTATGAGTGGACTCTGTGTGTATGTGTGTGTGTGTGTATGTATGCATATTACATCTCCATGCTTGTGTCTATATATACTGTATCCCTATGCACATATTTACATTGACACTGACATGTACACATATTTCTGACATGCCATCATTCAGTCTCTAGAAAGATGAATAAATAAAGGATACAACAGAGACAAAGTATACCAATAGGGGTTGTTTGATTTCCAGAATCTTGCATTACGACTACGTCTTTATCTTTTTTTCTAACTGTTTATTCCAGTGCACAATGCCAAATTGTTAAACTTGCCAATGATTATGATGATGAAGGTTAAATTAGGCTGGTATTCAAATATTTACTGATATTCACTATTTGACCAGGATGAGGTAAAATGATGCATATGAATGTTCACAATTTACAACTTACATGACATTGTGAAGGTTGTTGTACAGGCTAAAAATGTTTCCAATAGTAATACAGAATAGTCTTGAAATTCTTACAAGATTACTGTGTTGTTTTACGTGTTGGTTTCTGAACACAATGGATTTTAAAATTCCAAATGTTATAAAGTCGTCACCTCAATCTGACGCAGGAATGCATCTGTCAATGCAGGATCAGAAACATGGACTGTGGTGTCCAGGAGTCGCTGAGCTGATGGTTTCCACAGCTGAAACTCCCTCAGGGAATTTTGGAAGCGCTGCCTCAACTCTGTTTCAATCTCTGTGCTCAATTTAAACATTTTTCCCTTCAGACTGCAAAAATAAATTAACAAAATTATGAAGTTTTATTAATGAATTATGAAGAAGGATTTAATTTCTTCCTTTGAAGAAGGGAGAAGTAAACCCCAAGTTGGACGGAAAGGGACGAAAAGTCTGCCCGTGTAATATGCTTTCTTAACACAAAGCAGCTCTGTTTCTGCTTCCTATATTTTCCTGGCTTCTTCTTTCCACAGCTGTCTTTGCCAATCAGATAATCCACAAAACTGTTTTTAGATGCCCAGATGCATTTTCTTTGCACCTGCTGCAGGGAATTACAAGAAGCTAGCTGTGCAACTTGGATTCCCCAATAGCCTCTTAAGGATCAACCTTAAGATCCATACGCCCACCGTCTATTACAAGCCTAGAGCAGAAAGACAACTGAGACACTTAAAGGGGAAATTATCTACCAAAAGATGGATTTTTCCCTTAACAATGAAGATCGTAGTGCTTTTGGTGATATTTACTCGTGTGACTTCATATTTACCTTAATTACAAAGATGGCCTAAGGTATTTACAATTCAAGACATACACCACTGAAATCTAGCTTTAAATTAAATTAAATTAAGCCATGTAGTCATAATATTAACATTGACTAATTTATTTACAAATAACAATTAACAAGAAATATGCACACTAAGTATCAAGGGAGTCCAATTTAGTAGTATTCTCCATTCTGGGATCCCCTAGTTAGCTAGGCTGGCAGAGTGCATCATCTTGTCTGCATCTGAACTAACTTATTTAGTGGGTTACTGAAATAATATTGAATCATACACTCACCAATGAGATGGGTTTACACAATAAAACATGTGATCAAAGTTAAAACTTAGCAGCTGGAGCAAGAAGTGCAGTCACAAGGTTAAGTGTGTTTATTGTAGAATACCCCCTTTCCAAAGATTATATTGTCTGCATGTACAAAATATTGGACTTAGAGGTTGGGATGATAGATCTTTTTATTTCCCCATTCTAGTCTTAAAAAGGGGCAGCCATGAAGCAGAAAGCTCACTCTGATTTGACATACTTAACAGATATGTTTTGTGGCTTCTCCTCCAGCTAATTTTAGTAGTACTGTCAAAATACTCTCTTTAAAATGAACTAGCCATATCTGAATCTGTGTGGTGCAAAATACCTAGAAAATGTAGTTATGGATATGGTTCAATTATGAAAAGCACAGTTTTGGCTACTGTTTAAAAATTCTGTAGTGATTTTGCATTAAGAAGTTATTTACAGTTTGGCTCTGAGCATACCTGGTAACAGTATTTTGTGTGAACTCAAACGGCATGTTAAAATCTGTTTGTGTATTAGTTCAAAAAATACTGGTTTACGTTTAAATCTGAACAAAATTAATTTCATCCTCTCGACAGGTGTCTGGTTCCTTCTATCCATTAACTGAAAAAGAAAAACTTGTTTTTACTTGCTGAAAATTCCAACCTGCTTGTGTCTCTGGCTCAGAACCTTGAGGCACAGCTTAGTTCTAATTTCATTCTCCAGCTTGAAGGGACCTGGCAGACAGTAATGGCCAATACACAGGTTTTTAGAAAATAAACATGAAGATTTCCTTAGGAAACATATTTTGTTTTCAGTTAAACAAAACAATAGAAAAGGGATTATTCCACTTGGCATGCCATAATGCTCTTGTGATAGTAGTTTTCCTGTAAGGACAGTTTATGTTTTAACATAATTTTGGAAGAACACAAGTCTTTTGATCACTACCTTCACTGTTATTTCTTCATAATCATTAGTGAGATTATCATTTCCTACATATGAAACAATGCCTCTTTGGAAGATGATACCAACAATCTGTCATCTCTACTGTGGCAAATGTTCAAACTTTCCATTCTTACTGTTCCTCATTGGCAAGAATCCCAGGCTTGCTTCCTTAACTCTGAATTAATGTTTCTCCTGCAGTAACTAATTTCATTAACAGAAAATCTTTATAGCTTGTCAAAACAGTCTATGCTTGTCACAAGAAAGCCAGTTTTTAGATACAAGCAAACATTTGTCTGTGCCTAACCAGCTGTTGACAACCCTTTTTCCAAATCTGAAAAAAGGTTATGCAGATAATTTCCTGACTGTACTTAGCATGGAAGCAAAAATATTTTAGTAAAGTCAGAAGCAGAAGAGGGGAATATGTCTAGCCGGAAAAACATGCATGGGAAAAAATCAGCAAAGAACACATGGAGAAAAAGCATTCTTATCAGTGTTGCTACCTGCATAACACTTGGCTCCATGAAAGTAATGAAACACCTCTGATAATATGAACATATATACACAAATGCAAGACAACACACAATAAGGTAATGACTTATACAGCATGAGCCAGTGATTCAATTATTTTGCTCCACAAAGAATCCTCCCATGTCCAGCCAAAAAGCAGGAGAGAAAATAGGATGCAAAGTTAACTAGAATGATTTTTTCCTTCCCTCTCTCCTCATTGTCCCTTATATCATCCATAACAAGACAGCAGTGCAAAAAGCAGATATAATAAGTATTTCTAATATTTATCAGAAGATTATTCAAGATGATTTAGTACTAACTAGTTTTCTAGTTTTCTGACTAGTTTTCTAACCACTTTTCTAGTTGGGCAGAGTTTAATTTTTGAAACTGTTAATTATATAACTATAGTTTTTCCTAATCAAAAGCTACTGGTAAGGAAAATCAACCCATGAGTAAGATCTCAAAGCTGAAATAAATTGACATTCTTTCTATATCAAATGGTTAGGAAAAAGTCCTAATGCTACAATACAGCTTCTGGTGCAGAGAACTTTGATTCAATACCTGGTCTCTACGGGCAGAACTGAGAAAATTTTAATCTGAAATTCTGGTGAGTTACTACCAGTCAGTAGATGACTGATTCCTTAAAAGGCATTTTTGTATGTTCACAGATCATCCTGAAACACCAATGTCACTATCTGCCAAGAAAAGTCAGAAAGCTCATCCTAGTAATGTGGATATCAGATGAGATGAGAGCATAAACCATATTATATGCCTCTTTCCAAAAAGTTAGAACATTTTAGCTGCAATGTAATCATAAAGGAACAGATTTAATTTTTAGGAAGATGTGAAAAAGACATTTATTTGAACAGCTAGATGAGATGGGTATTTTGAAAGCAGATGCAGGATTCCTTATATTTCATCTGCCCAAATTCCCTCCCTGACAGGATTACTATGGAGTGATTACATTGAAAAATACCCCATTATTTTCCATTCATACACCTACTTTGGTGCCTACATTCTACTTATTACATGGGTATTATTTCATAATGTTTCATCTGGAAACTGAGAGACACTTAAAATGAGCAACTTATCACCAGGGCTGGGAGATCTTTGACAGGCTTCTACAAATCTCTCTTTCCTGTGATGTGGGGAAAAAATCCCAATCTGGATGGCAACCAACTACACTTTACCCAGAGTTCCACAATGGTATGTCCATATTGGGACTGAAGAATCCGGGTTTAAATTCCCATCCAACCACGAGTGAACTTATTATCTTTCAGCCTGTCTCCACAGTATTATTATGAGACTAACCATTGCAAGAAGTGAAGGAAATATATAAAAGGCACCTAGAGCTTTGAGAAGGGGAGAAAAAAGACAAATCTCATTTCAAATAAGCCTTAAGACCAGTGAAAGTCAAGAGATGTAATTTGCCATTGCCTCCTTTCAGATTTATATTTCTTAATTTTGAAACAAGCTGTCTATATCAGTCCTTTCATTGAAATGTATTTTTGGAGCTATCTGATTATTGTGCCACTTCCTCCAGCAAAATACCTCTGATGTTCTCGTAGGGCATGGATCACACTCTCAGAAAGAGGCTGCAAATCTTGTGAAAATTTGAACAACTCCTTTAGTTGAATCTTCAGTTTCTCAGCCTTTGGTTCTTCTGCTGTAAGGCTTGCCTTTGTTGCCTTAAAAACAAAATTATTGTCAAGAAATATTAACTTACATAGCTGTGTTTATTTTTTTAACTTGTATAAAATCTACAATTAAATTCAAACCACAAACAGCTTATAAAAATAAAAACATAGCCACAGCATAGCATAATTAAACATTTCACAATAAAAGCAAACTTACAGGGGCACTTCTCCCATCCTAATGCTTCATAAAAATCATAGAAGATTAAAAACATCTTGAAACTGAAGAAAACTCATCAGCTTGTGATGAAAGTTTAAGAGGAAACAAACAATCGTGCCTTTCATTATTTCATAAATTAGCTGCACGTGATTAGCTGAGTAATTTCCACCAACACTTATACAAAATTTAGGAAACAAGAAAAAAGACCTAGGATTGCCTTATTATATCAGTTTCTTAGTGGGAATAGAACAAAGAATGCCTATTCCAATGAAATGGAACATCCTGGATAAGGGTACAGTTCATTGGGACCCATTAAAATGTTGCCATGAAGATGCCTCAACCATTTATTTTAACGTATTTGCATCTGAATAGACGAGCAGGGTTTAATTTTATTTTCATTTCATTATGTGACCATCTGCCTTTGTTCCCAGTTGGTTACTGACCAGTAAATGCTCACCAGGTATTCTCTCCATAGTGAAATTAAATCCTCATCACTTCTCACAGTATCGTCCTTTTCAAAGTGGTTTCCTAATCTTTGCAGCCTTTTACGGAATTCTTGAACATCAGTTTCAAGCACCCTGGCTTGGGTGTGGTAGGTGTTTTCAGACTGAAGGCTCTTAAGCAGTTTCTCCTCTTCCTCCACACTCACTAGCTTTATATTCTCCAGGAGTTTTTTCAGCTCCTCAAGCTCAGCCTTCATCTTTTCTGCCCCCAGGGGAGAGGTGTTTTGCATCACATCTATAGACTGTGCTTCCAGATGTTTCAATTTCTTTTCTCCGCTCCTTACATCTTTTGTAATGTCCTGCAGGAGAAAAGAGTTGCAAAGTAAGTGATTTCCAATCTCACATGTAGAAAATATGAGTACTGAGACAGCATAAATCCACTATGCATTGCTGCCTATGAACACAAGAAAAGGCCACCGTGCTTTGTGCCTAGTCACCCAAATTATTTTGAATGGGCATCATGCCAGGAATGTCATAACCATGAATCCACCAGACCCAGGCTGGATTAGGCAACAGTGGTTCTCGGATTTATGTCACATCTCTGTTGGGGAACAATGGTGTGCATCTTCTCTCCTTAACCAGTTCAGTGTGCCTGATCATTTCTGATGTTACGTATTTGTATGGTACTATCATCTTCAAAAGATGGAGCATCTCTAAATGCTTGGTTCATTCATCAAAACAAAATATAACATAAAATCCTGCAATAACACCTGCATAACTGGATAGAAGCATTCCTGTCAAACAGACAACAAATGGTCAAAATTGGGAGCATGCTATCAAATTCTGTACCTGTCAACAGTGGTGTCCCCCAAAGCAGTGTTCTAGGACCAACTCTCTTCATACTCTACATAACTGACCTCTGTGATCATATTAAAAGCAACTGCGTTCTTTTCGCTGATGGCTACACTACCGACACCACCGACAATACTGCTACCCTTCAAAAAGACCTCGGCTATGTATCAGAATGGTCAAACAAATGGCAACCTCAAATCTCAACAAATAAATACTCTGTCTTACATATTGGCAAAAAAATCAGAAAATAAAATACAAGCTGAATAGTCAAGTCCTTGTTGATGATCCAAACTCTGCAAAGGACCTTGGATTACTCACCTCTAATGATCCAAGTGTTAGAGCCCCTGTAACTACATAGCCAAAAAGGCGTTGAGTTGTTAACATAATCCTGTGTAGCTTTTTCTTAGGTAATATCACATTACTAACTAGAGCATACAAAACTTTTGCTAGATCAATACTCGAATACAGCTCATCAGTCTGGAACCCGCATTATATATCTGATATTAATACAGTGGAGAAAGTTCAGAAATATTTCACAAGAAGAGTTCTCCACTCCTCTACTCGTTGCAGAATATGCCACCAGACTTGAAATTCTAGACCTAGAAAATCTAGAACTATGACGCCTTTGGACTGATCTCAGTATAGTACATAAAATTATACATTGGAATGTCCTACCTGTCAATGAATACTTCAGCTTCAACCATAACAATACAAGAGCACACAATAGATACAAACTCAAGGTAAACCGCACCAAATTTGATTGCAGGAAATACGACTTCAGCAACAGAGTGGTCAATGTCTGGAATACTCTACCTGACTCTGTGGTTTCTTCCCCAAACCCCAAAAATTTTAACCTTAGACTGTCTACTATTGACCTCACCCCTTTCCTAAGAGGTCTGTAGGGGGCGTGCATAAGTGCACCAATATGCCTACTATCCCTGTCCTATTGTTTCTTTTTATTTTTCTTATATGCATCCATGTATTCATAACTATGTTTATATTAATACCTGTTATCTTATAATCTCTTGACAAAATAAAATAAATAAATAAATAAAATCCCTGACTGCTAGCAATTCAGTAGCACTTAGGATTTGGCAACAAGAATTCTTTATTTTTGACCAAACATAGTTTGGGTAGACCTTCCACATACACAATAATCCCACTCAACACATATAATCCATGAACTGGACTGATCACCAAACATGGTTCTACACATGTGTTTATCACCAGTGTACACAAAACGCACATGTGTGTATTAAGCTTGCAAATCCCACTAGCCATATTGGCTTCTAGTTTTCCTGGGTTAGCATCCCTAACATGTAGGTTGGTTTTCTCCTCCTTTTCATTTGTACAATGAACTCTGTATTAAGTATCATATAAAAAGTGAATTTATATATCTCAAAGACTGATTTAACTGCTTTGACACCACACTGTTCCTTAAAAATCATTTTGTCCAACAACTTATGGCTCACAATACTTATTCTAAGTATGCTTCTGACTAGTTCCAAAAATTCTTATAAGATTGGGATGTTCAAGAATGTTCTATATTTTGGGACTTCCGGTTTGAGCTTCTTCAGCGACAGACCGAAACCTCGTCTCTGTGAGGCTTCGATCCGTGCTCGCCGCTGGAGCGGCCCGAGCTGGCTGGTTTCGGGGCTAAGCCACCCCGTAGAGGTGGTGAAGAAGGGGGAGACTGCCAGCAGGGTTGAGGAGAGCCGCATCTCTCCTCCCCAGCTGGCCATTACTCCCTTTCCTGAAGGCGGTTGCAGCGGTGGTCAGAAATGGCCATCACAAAGAAGAACTCGACCGGAAAAGAATGTGCAGGAGGAAGATAAGAAGAGAAAGTTTTGGTTGACCGGGTCAAACAGCAAAAGCAACAAATACGGTACCCTGGAATTGAAACTGTTAAAAAACAATAACATTGTTCCCTAAGAAGATTTTTAAGCTGCGAAAGAGAGAGAAAAGGGAAAAGACTTGGTTTTCTCCTTTTCCTATACTGACAGCTAAGAGACTTAAGCAAGAAATTGGAAAAAAATCCACTTTGACATCAATAGGCATTTAATGCTGAAAATAAAAAGTCAAAGGGATAATAAAGATATCTGGATAATTAAAAGCTTTTGAAAACAGTAAAGGAGAGAGGAAGAATAAAAGGGCAGGATCTGGAAGGGAGGAGACTGCCTGGAATTAAAAAAGAATTTACAGCAAAATCTCAACAAGACTTCCAAAAGATACATTCTAACTGAAATATCGCAACAAAAACCCCAGGAAGAGAAAGTCGAAAAAGAAATAAGAAGATGTAACTTGGAACTATCTGGATTACTTGATGATTTCTGGATTCCTGGTTATTGTTTTGAATGACTAAAATCAGTCGGGTGGTTGTTTAAAACTTTTTAAGATGGCTCCACTTTTAGAAGAACTGAAAATGGAACTTAAAAAGTACAAAGAAGATGCACAAGAAGGGAGAGGTTCTTTTGGCTTCGTATTTTAGTTTTTAGAAATGGAGATTTGGAATTATGAGAAACAACAAGAAATGCCTGCAGAACAAGAAGATTGCGACAAAGAAGAAGCAATCTTTAATGAACAAGTAATCTTAGATGGGGAAAAAAAAGGAAAGGGGAGAAAGAGAATGGAAAGTTTAAGATTGGGAAAAACAACTCCAAAAAAAATAGAGTGAAAAATAAGTATAAAATCAAAAAGCAACAGAAGAGGGAAATGCAGAAGAGAGAATTAGAACTAGAGAGACAAGGGGGTAAAAAGGGGAGGGAGGGAGATGAGAGGGCAGAAAGAAAGGAAAAGAAGTTATAAAGGACAGAAGCAAAATATAGAGAAACAGGGTCTATTTAGAGATAATGGGTGAAA